GTGATGCTCTTGACGGACTCCGCTAGCATAAGAGATGTGATAGCTTTTCCGGTCCTGAAGATTCAGCAATGAGGTGAACAGCGAGAGTGTCTATGTAGATTATATCTCCCGCAAATTTCAATGGGATGAAGGGCTCTTCAACTCATTCCCACAGTCTTGAAAGTTACTAATTCTGTGAATTACTGATTTATAGAGTGTCTCGCCCTTGAATCTCATTCAGTGAGTTGTTGTCACGTGTGGAAAATTTTGGTAGTTCTTTGGAGATGTTTATATCCTGGAGTACCCATTTAGCACTCGGAAATCATTGCATTTTTTATACTATATGTATTAGAATGATGCGGTCATAGAGCCTGGAATTCGGCTGATTTAGGCATGTATTGGCCCTCTCCGATTTTTATGTATTTCATCTTGAAGGCGGTACAATCTGTGAATCTCATCTTTATTGAATTGGAGTAATGTATTCTACTGAAGACTTGAGAGATGTTGGCATGCCTTGATCAGCTTACTTCCCATATCAGTCATGCAATATATGGTTTTTCCAATTAAATTCTTTTGAATTTTCGCGAATTTCCTGTTAAATTCTATCGATTTTTCACGAATACGCATTCCTGTGGCCTGTATGGAAACTTTTTCCACAGATGTTGCGGTTTACACAAATTACTTGGAACACATGAAATCTGTTTAAGACAACTAATATAACTATGTAGAATTGTCTATTATTTTTTCATTGTTCTAAACATAATGATTTTTTTTTTCGTTTTCAAAATCGGGAGGAAAAATCATAAATAGAAATCATAATCGGGGCACCGATCTACTCTCCCGTGAGCGCGTGCCCGTTGTGAGCCGTTAACAGATGCAAGCATTCCTTTGTTAGCTGTCTGATCATATATGTTTTCAGCCGTTTGGTCTAAAATTTGTCGACGTCAATTGTCTGGTTTCGGCACGGCAAGTTTGCCTTGCTTTTAGCTCCTGGCAGCACAGGCGAACAAGCCAGGACTTATGCAGGTATCTTTTTTGCCTTAGTCAATGTGGCTCTCATCTGCACTGAAGTCAAAATGTTTCTCTCCACCTTATCATCATTTGACAAACATATTGTTTTGCCATTTCTTCCATTTCTTCTCCTATCTTTGCCTTCTGTGATGATGGTATTGCTGTGCTGCACCACTGCCAAATTCGCTAGCACCACACGCCTACTGCACCCGTGCACGCATGCGTGTCGAGTGCATGCATGTAGGTCATTCCTCGCATTCCCCACTCGAGAGCTTGTCGGGGAGCAGAGAGAGAGAGAGAGAGAGAGAGAGAGTAGTTGTTTAAGATACGACAATGCTCGTGTATGGAAGGTACGACAATGCTCGTGTATTGATGTCACAGTTTGACTTTGGAGGGATTGTATGACATTTGGTGCAATTTGAATATGGTAGCTCAAGAACCGGAGAGACGAATGTGGAAGATCTTGGTAATAGTTGATCTCTTATCGAATTTTATATATACATTTCTTAAAAACATATCCGTGTATATTAAAATATTAAAAAGTAAATATTAACCAATTGAAGATGTTCTATCCGCGTCAGGTATCCACTCGTCTCATGGATTATAGAAATGGATAATAATATAAATAGTTCTTGAACTTTGGTCCAGTGTGCAATATCATCCTTGGATTTTTAATTTGTGCAACATGGTTCTTGAACTTTGGATTAATGTGTGATGTCGTCTTTGGACTTTTAATTTGTTCAATGTAGGGGTGAGCGATTCAAGGTTCTTTAGGTTCCAGGTTCTTTACATATTCCTCATAGAACCTGGAATCTACCATCAGGTACAGGTTTCTCATTTTTTGAAACCTGGAACCTACCCGTCGGAATCTAAAACCTGGGACCTACCCTATCACAGGTTCCACGGTAGATTCTAGAGTCTAATAGGTTCTTTTTTTATTTATTTCATACAAAACGAAAATGAACACAACAATATTGAACAAACTTGTCATTCATCAAAGAGAATACAAATAACTAGTTTTCCTGGAGTTACGGTTCAAATAAATACAATTAAAATGAGAAGTCATTGCGTGAATCGATATTAGGGGTGAGCGGTTCCATGTTATGTATAGGTTCCAGGTGGAACCTACCCACGATATTAGGTTCGTCATTTTTTGGAACTTGGAACCTACCCCAGAGTCAATTCCATGATTTTCCTAGGTTTCCACCTGTATTATTAATTGAACAATTGCAGTAAATCATCACCTCTAATGACTACCACTTGCTGTTATGATCTACTGACCACAACTTATATTTAGACACACGAAGAATATGAAACATTAACAAGTCATAAAATAAAAACTTAGACTAGTAGTTCCAGATTATACACTCATCATCTAAAGTCATAAAACTCCGTAGGATCACGCGAAGACATAAACCAAGAAAAAATATAAAAAACTTATTTAGGTTTCACTCCAAATTCCACCTATCTAGAACCTAAAATCTATCCGTTGAAACATGTTTCCCAATATCAATCGATAAGAGACTATGTGGTCCATATGCATTTTCCTCCTTAAAATTATGGAAAATCTTGACCCGGTGAAAATGCTTGAGCATATGGATTTGTGTCGGATAGAGAATGTTGTTTAGCAGCACATGGAAGCTTCCATCACACTCCATTCCCTCTTTACCATCTATCTGCACCACGCGGCATGCCATTCAGGGAAAAGAGACCACTTTCCAAAAAGATTCAAAGCCATAATGAAACGCTAGCACCGGTGATTGTTTTTGATAATGGCAAGCGTGTGTCTCATCATGAACCCTCCATTTTATAGATTCTCTCCATCACGATGAACGGCTGCGATAAGGCAGAGTTTGGTGATGACAGGGTTAGGGCAAATGCCACTAAAAATCTTAAATTATGCTCATTGAGACACAAAAAAAATCAAAATATATACTTGTGTAGTACATTTACCATTTTTCAATAAGATTTGTTAAAAATATGTCTATATGGATGCCAGAAAGCAAACTGTGGTGATACGGCAATCACGTAATTTAAATGAAATAACGACGTTGTTTTGGTTGAAAAATTATTCGATGGAACTTTAATAAAAGGTAAATAGGTCAGATATGTACAATTTTGAAGTGAATGTCATAAGAAAAAGTTTATGATAAATGTGTCATAGGAGTATAATTTGAGGTTTTTAATGTTACAAAAAAATTCTGGGTAATATAATTTGAGGTTTTTCGTGACTTTTTCACTAGTATTTAATCAATGTTGGGTCGGGAGGTGGGGTCCATCGTACGGAAGATTGGCCTTGTGCAAGACTCCAATTAATGATACACAAAGTTAAACCGTGATCAAGGGACATTGGGTGATCAATTTATGAGAAGCATGTCAGCTATCAATACAACTTGACAGAAGAAATAGCATGTGGGGCTTTTCATAAGAATAAGATTCGATAGTTTTTGATTTTGTTTGGTTAAGTATGTGTTGTTTTGGACCTCCGAACTTTACCTAATCATGCCGATGAGTCGTCTAACTTTCTAGATTTATCTAATGAAGTCCTTTTTTTTGAATCGTGATTAGCAATGTCGTCAAATGTTGACGTGGCATTGCTAACGTGGTGCAAAACGGCGGCCCTCACTTGAGCATCGTGGGGTTTACATTTCGCCGGTGAGGGTTGTTGTAGCTCGGGCTGTAGCGGCGGCCGCCTCTCGCCCCCTCACCGCTCCCCGTTCTTTTTTTTTTTTTTCTCTTTTAGGTTTTGTGTTTGCCGATGTGGCGTTTATTCGAGATTATATCATAAACAAATTTCCTCCGTGTCCCTTCAAGAGTCCGAACACGTCGTAGATGGTGATCGACAAAATGGCCAGATTGCAAAAAAAATCGAGAAAGTTAGAGTACTCGGTTGCACCACGACGAAAACCTCAGAAGACCAAATTGCACAAACCACGATAATCACGGGACAAAAACTATACGTAACCTAATACTCATTTGTCTTTTTCCATAATTTATAGTGATTCGAATTGACTGGCAACACAAGACTTTTATTTTGGCCGCCATATAGGGGATTGGGTAGGTAATCTATCTAAATACCAACAATCTTATAAAATCAACACGTCCCGCTTCCGTTGACCATAGCCTCATCGACTTTTGATTGGCAAATTTCTACAGATAAAGACACCTGCGGTGGGGCGCATTCCAAAGAAATTATTGGTTCTCAAATCTCGAATTTTTCGAAGGAGATTAGACAAGACAAAGCATGCCGACGTGAGCAATTCGTCGTGCAAATTACGTCACCCGGACCTATCAAAGCCTCCAAGAAAGGCAAAAAAACGAGAGACAAGGGCGACTAGAATTGCGTAGCATCGTTTTCCATCGTGAGGACCCGCATCGCGGCTGTTCCTTTCCTTTTCTCTTCTGATTCCAATCCATCCATCGGACCCAAATCTCTTCTTTTTTTTTTTTTTATTGTTCCACTAAATATTCCTCGTTTTGCGGGGCGGGCCAATGCCGAGGGCAGGCGGGGCGGGATAGGACTAGTATTAGCGCCACCTAACGCCTCGCCGGGGCATCTCTTTCGTGGAAAATGTGACCCCCCGTTCGAGATTGTATTCCACCGAGCCATGAGTCCCTGCGCCTCGTGCCTGTCTCTAGCAATCACGTTATATCCGCCGTAGTTCCTATAGAAAGTGCAGCACCGTGTAAGAACTTAAAACTCGTCGACTGATCGTTGAGATTTATAGTCTTGTCGTCGAAGGGTTGCACGACCCAGACATTCCCTCGGAGAGATAACACAGATATTTTTCGTGAACATAGCCAGCGCCGCTAAATGCGATCTGTTTGCAAGATATGAAAACGATACGAGACGAAACTAAAGTTATAAAGAGATCGCGTTTAATCGACGTATGAAATCAAAAAAATTTGATGCGGATTAGAAATAAAATAATGACAAATAGATACGAATTGCCACCAACCTATCCATTGAAAAAACCAAGATGGAACGAGACAAAGATATTTTCGTCCAAGTTAAAGTTAATGTTGGCAGCTTACCGAAAAGTCGGCAAAGGAAAAGCGAAACGAAAGTAGTGTGTGCGTGTGTCGAGGATGTTGGGCAATTAATGTTCTGTTTCTTCAATCTCGAACTCATTCAGTGCGCCTCGTCGGACGACTTCCCCCACTTCCGTGTAGTGCAAAAAGCTTCGTCCTTCCACTCCACCACCCCCTGTTTGCCCGTTTGATCTTCTTCAACCTTCGCCCCGCCTGCGGAATTGTTCATGGCTCGACAGTAATGGGTTCGGAGGCTCTTCCCGGGTGCACGCCCAAGCTCCCCGACAAGGAATCTTGACAGTTTCGGGTTTCTCAGCTGGTGCTCTGGCGATTCCTGCTCGATAGCCGCAAGAAAGAGGTCGAATTCGCTTCTGGGTCTTGATTGCTTCGCCCAAAGGCAAGGTCTTTATCTCCATCCATCGTCAAGAATTTGGAAAGCGAGGGGTGGTTCTTGCTTCGGTGCTGACCTTTCTCGTGATGTCTCGATTTGGGTCTTTCCTGGGCGTCATCCTCTGCTGTGATTGACGTCTCTTTTCCCTCTGTGCCGATTCGGAGCGATGGGTGTGATCTGGGTTAGGTCTTAGCACATCATCCCAAAACACTTTTTGATGAGGTTTTTTGTTTGCAAGCTCCATTGCCCTCCTTTTGTGTGCTTTTGCAAGCCCTCCTCTCACATTTACGCTCCTGGACCGTTGAAATTGGAGGATGCCCCCCATGTCCCTCCACCAGAAGTCTCGGTCTCTGATGGCTCTGATCAGTTGTGTGGAGAGACCGCTGAGGTCGGAGATGATGCGGGTTTAGATGAGAAGAACGGAGAAACTGATAAAGTCATCATCAAGAGCTGCCTCAAGAAGAAGAAGGCAGGTTTGGAAGCACTCTGTGCTGAGAAGAAGCAAGTGCAATGGGTGGACTTGTTAGGGAAGGAGCTTGCTGAGGTCAAGGAGTTTGAATCTAGGTGGGTAAATTTTCTCTTTCTGCTTCCTCCTTGTTGATTAATTCCTTTAATCTTTTCGATTCCCTTGCCTTTTATTTTCTGTAGGGTTCTATTCCTGACTATAGTCGGATGACATGGCATTGTATTGATTTTAGCTATGGTTTTGCTAATTTGATAATCAGTTTGGTCTAGTGGTTGAGGAAAATTTGGGGGAAAAGTGGATGAAATGGTGACATTGAGATATAATGTTCCGCTTTAAGCTCTTTCCACGAGAATAGGCAAAGCCACATAGGATCACAGCCCGTGGGACAGTAAAAGTTTCCATATTTAGGCTCTTCATTGGGCTTGAATGTTTGGAGAGTTTGTTCCGAGAAGTCTCTCTCTCCCCCGAACCGTCCCACTGGTCTCGATATTGCTCTATCACCAGAAGATATAAAAACCTGTCTATCTGTGAATGCATATTGGGAGCTTCTGCTCTCATGTTAGAATTCGTTTTAGAAGCTTGCAATGTCCTTGCTTTTTAGTTGTCTTTGGCGAAGCAAGAGCTGCGAAGTGTGGTGATTTTGGATGCCAATGGGGTGGGTGTGCCTTTGTTAATAATCTCTTGATGTTAGAAAAAAGAGGAATGATTGAGTTAGTCAATCGCAAAGGAGAAAGCTCCTTTTAGCTATCTGATATAGGAGACACAAAAATTGCACATGATTGTGAAAATATTAAGGCCAAATAGAATTTGGACCTGCTGCAAAAAGAGGCATGGTTAAGGATAAAAAAAACAGTTCAGCATAGCATGATTATTAATCTCTAAGTATCACTAGTTGACTGCTGGAAATTGAATGGACTGTGCAGGTTTTATAAGATGGCCGTCATTACGGTTGAAAAGGGATGTCTAGTGTGTTTTGCATCAGGAAATAGAGAAAGTAAATAGCAGAGAAAATCAGCTCTACTAATGGACTCAGAGCATCTGTTTTGTCAACTCCTTTGATTTTGGCTAAAACCCATGAAACTTGTGTAGATAAATTAGCTGATCATACTAGCACTGAAAGAGGTACTTTGGTCCAGTACATCTTAGGTTTGTTGATGCAAGCAAGATGGATAAATAACACATTGTCTCAATTCACAAGAGGCATGATTGACTTTCAGAAAATCGTTGAGAGATCAATTTGGTTTTGTCTTCTAAATACTGTGTGCAAGAGTGCATGTTGATCGAAAACTTGAGTTAGATTTTGTATTATATTGAGTTATGAGCTGGCCATTTATTGTGGCTTCCTGCAGTTACATGTATGTTGGAGTGGGTTTGAAAAATATGGATCCATGTGCTATGAGTTTTTCTGATAACCCTTGAGTGAGAGGATAGAGAGAATCTGAGAACCACAAGTTGGTAGGCAAGCGCAAAAGCGCATCAACGGGACTGATGACATTTATAGACTTGCTTGTAATTGTAGAGAAGTGCTTCAAGAAATAATTGACTATATTCCATGTATGCAATGTGTGCATGCACGCGGCTGTGTGTGTATTCGTGTGTGTGCTCGTGTGTTGAAGGGTTAATGTTGGATCTTGCAAACGGGTCTTCCACTTATGGTTTGGTTTTATAAGTTTGCCTGACTCTGCTCCTTTCTCTCTCCTTGTATTGACAGTGAAGTGGAAGAAGATTATGGAGGTAATGGACACAATCTCTGTGTCATTCTTTGAGACCTATTCTGTCTCCGGTGCTTGTATGAAGCAAGCATTCTGATGATAAGACGCTCATAGATCGTCGTCGTACGTCTCTTTTCGACTTTAGAAGAAGTTTCTTCTTTCTGGAGTTGGTATCTGGAGATTCGTTAGGTCTCTCTCTCTATGTATAGATATTGCTGCTCTGCTCTCAATGCAAGACTCATTCCATACGATTGCTATTCAAATAAAATGCGTCAAATATTCTTTTCTTCTTCTTCTGTTTTTTCCCCAAGGTTTCTCTCTCTCTCTAACAGAGTAGTTTTGAGAAGAAACTATTGACACACTGCACATCCAAATTCAGGCTCCCCTAATTATGCAAAATACTCCAATCATGTTCACATTAAATGTCATCCGTAACTGTTCAACCAATGGATTGTCATCATCAAAATATATTCCTAAGGTTGATTCACCTTCTAACATGACCATATCAAACCCGAGATAGAATTTTGAATTTAACTAAGGGTCTGTTTATTTGAAAGAAAATTGTTTTCGGTAAATTGTTTTCTGACAATCCAGTGTTTGGATGACGGAAAATGGATCTACGAAAACATTTTTCACGAATTGAAAACAATAAGCTTAGATGGGGGAAAATAGCTTCAGTCAGATTGGGTCACAAATTCAAATTGTAACTCAGTTTCACTTAAATGGAATTTGAGGAATTCAATCATACACAAAAGAAATCATTAAAGTTTCGTCTGTGAATAATTCAAATAAGGTGACTGATTTGGTGGTTTTTGCCTTATTTATAGGAGTATGTTTGTCGACACAAGCAGAACTTTGGACTTTATGGTTGGGATTCAACTTTGCAAAACAATTTAGTTTTCATAAGATCATCATTGGGATTAACTCTTAAATCATTACTGATTTTGGTAGTCCAGATCTTATAATTGATAATGCTAGCCCTACTTTACTTAAAATATCAGAAGACTGCTGGGCTCTCATTTTGAGTTTAAAGTGCAGTATAACTTTCGTGAAGGAAATAGCTCTGCTGACCAGCTTGCTAATCTTGGAATCGATAAACGCTTGGATACTAGTGTCTTTCAATTACTTCCTATTTCATGTAGATTTACAACATTAAATTTTTATATTCAACTTTAGCCCCTTTTCATACAGAAAAAAAGTTTTTACTCTGAAATCCAATGAAAATAGACAGAAACGAAATAGATAGCTGGGCAGTGGTTCAACGCCGAACCTATCTACTTAGGTGGGCCACTGACCCAGAAAAGTAAACTTAATGTCTCTGGGCCATCGCTCCACGTGTCAAATAGTACATTGATAAGAAAAGATGCCGTGCAAGGTACGAGGACCATTACGCTTTCCCTTAGGAATTTTCTGATATTTGACTGGATCTACAGACATGTCAAGCTTGAAAACTGAACAGAGCAAAATTGTTAATGCCCAAAACAAGTAGGTTAATGCGTATCCCACAGACAAGGCTTTTGTAGTGGACTGGGAGAGTTCATTTGGCTTTGCCCTTTGCTCAATCCTCGCCTAAGTACTGATGGGCATTGCTGATGTGAACTGATGTTGTAGCCAACCTCGGAAAAATCAGTCCAAAGAAAGCACATGGTCTTCCTTGAAAAGTCTTCTTGGATTGAGAATTTCTCAGGTCCTCACGTCTCCAATCGCATCATATAAACCACCACTTGGTAGCTTCACTTGTCATCAAGACAAGTGGTGATGCTTCAGTATTGCATTCTTGCAGCTTTCATATTCTTCTTTGTCCTCTTCCTTTACTCGATCGAGAAACTTGTCAAGTTGAGGGCGCGCGCGAATCCTAGTCTCCCTCCAGGAAGCCTAGGATGGCCACTCATCGGCGAGACTCTGGAGTTCCTCCGAGCGGGACGACTAGGAGAGCCCGAACGGTTCATCAGGGAGAGGATGGACAGGTACGATGCGAGGGTCTTCAAGACGTCCCTGCTTGGGGAGCCGATGGCCGTCTTCTGTGGGACTGCGGGGCACAAGTTCTTGTTCGGCAACGAGAACAAAGCCGTCAAGGTCTGGTGGCCGAGCACTGTGCAGAAGCTGTTCCGGTCAAGCCTGGTCAACGCTGCAGGTGAGGATGCCAAGTCCCTGAAGAGGATACTCATGAACTTTTTCCATCCTGAGGCGCTCAAGAGGTACATTGAGAGGATGGACATGATCACCCGACACCACCTTGACACGCACTGGGAACGAAGAGAAGAAGTGCGACTTTATCCGATGCTTAAGGTCTACACTTTCGAATTGGCCTGTCGCATCTTCACCAGCACCGATGACCGTACACGAGTTTCAACCCTGGCCGCCCTATTCGATGTTTTCATAAATGGAGTTGTGAATTTGCCTATAAGTTTCCCTGGAACGGCATTCTACTGTTCAACCAGGGCCGCCAGTCGAATCCGGGAAGAGATTCGATCGATTGCTAGGGAGAGAAAATTAGCTCCATGGGAAAAAAAGGCGATGCCTGACCAAGATCTTTTGTCCTTCTTGCTCACTTCTGCCGACGCTAATGGACGGTTCTTGAGTGAGATGGAGATCATTGACAACATACTCCTAATACTATTCGCTGGGCACGACACCACAAGATCCGCCATCACGCTGTTCGTGAAGTATCTGAGTGATTATCCTGAAGTCTACGAAAAGATTTGCAAAGGTTATGAGCTTTAAAACACATCTGCAAGGCCTTTTTTTGTTGAAATTACAATTATTCAGAATGTTTTAACCTGTTGTAAGCGATGTTAAGCACCGAGTCTTCGGTCCTTTCATGTTTATGCAGAGCACGAAGATATTGCCAAATCGAAAGAACCGGGGCGGTTGCAGTGGGAGGATGTGCAGAAGATGAGGTACTCAATGAATGTGGTCGCGGAAGTTTTGAGGCTGATGCCACCAGTGACCGGTGCATTCCGAGAGGCCCTGGTCAATTTCACATATGCTGGTTATACCATTCCTAAAGGATGGAAGGTACTCTCGCAATCATCCTCCCGTAACTTTGTAGGAGCAGTAATAGAAGAATGGTTTTGAAAGGAACTGAACTATATGAATTTTTCCGATGATCAGGCTGACCAACTCTATGAGATCAAACGAGCATAAAAACTTTAATTTAGAAATTACGTGACTGCAGTTTAACTGACTGGTGCATCTTTCACTGCGTGTGCTAGCTATATTGGACTACTGGTTCGACACATAAAGATCCAGTACTTTACCCGAATCCTGAAAAGTTCGATGTGTCGAGATTCGAAGGATCAGGATCGAACCCTTTCTCGTACGTACCGTTTGGAGGGGGGCCAAGGATGTGCTTGGGGCATGAATTTGCCAGGATTCAAATCCTTATATTTCTGCACACTATGGTGACAAGATTCAAGTGGAATTTGGCGATCCCGGATGAAGCAATTGGTTATGATCCCATGCTTTCGCCACAACAGGGGCTTCCGCTCTGTCTTCTACCACATAGACTGTGAAACAGACGCTAAGTCTATCATCTTCAACTGCTAGTGAACCTCTAGTCTAGTTACCGAACTCCGAGATGAATTATCTGAATTTTGAAGATGCAGGTCGTCTTCTTGGGCATATAAGCTCGAATATGTAAATCAATAAGGGTCAATATCACACTGACCAATGCAATACTATCATTTCTATCTGGAAACTGTGCTCTTTACACTTTCCCTGTGAGGTATGTGCAGAGTTATGATCTCCTAATGTAGGAGTTCTAGTAAGTCGGAGAAGGTTAAATATTTTTGCTCTTTCATTATATTTGGTGGCAAGGATCGAACTACGTATGTTTTCTCTGCCGTATGTAGAGCTTTATTTTCTTCAAATTGATCGTTTTCCTACTCTCACCGCCGTTATTGGTCTTCACTCAGAGCCCGCTCCTCCTTATGGTGAATTATCCCTTAAAATTACTCAACAACACTCGGACTCGACCTTGAGCAGGTGACCGAGTAGTTGACACAACAGCAATGAACTATAATGACCACTGTTTCTGATGTTGCTGTTAGGTGAACATAATGTGTTATGGATCTTTCATGTCAGAAAGAAAATTGTCTGATTTGCGGAAAGTTGGCAGGTCTCACAATGTAGTCCATAAATATCTAATGCGTTCTACCATTCACCTCAGTAGACGCCATGCCTGAGGCTTCCTTCCAAACCATATCACCCTCTCCATGATAAACTCACACATGTGCAAGCTGATCATGCGCGCATAAGCTGCAAGGGATCCAAATAATGTGCAACCTGAATTGCACATATCATCATGCAAAAGAAGGTTGTCTGCAAAGTGAATACAACTTGTCTCGTGTTTTTGTCCTTACTTCGAGAGAGAGAGAGAGAGAGAGAGAGAGAGAGAGAGAGAGAGAGAGAGAGAGAGAGAGAGAGATGAGAGAGAATAATCGAATAATCGATTCCTCTTCAATTTCTCACTGATATACTTTACATCCACCAGAACTTCACAATTTGGGGAAAGGTAAAAAATAGGTAACTACCAGAAAAATTTCCACTCAGGGTGTTTCCAAGTCCAAGATCAAAGTGATGCGCATAATGAGAATGAATAAATTTTCCTGAAGCTCTGTCAGGATAAGCAGTTGCTTCTCCGATCCTTGTCTTAGGCCTTGCCTCGGTAGAGAACCAAGGTTCTTCAATTGCACAGCCAATTTTCAGCACTATTTTTTGTTGAAGCCAAATAGAGATTTGATGGCGTCAATGGCGTTCTCATTGATAAAGGATTCGTCAAACCTTTTCAGAAGAGGATCAAATTCCTTGGACTTCCTTACATTTTCCAAATCAGGATCCGTTCGAATTCTCTGCATCAACAAGCAAAAACATTAGAAATGCAAGCTCAGCTAACTACGACACCTATCATTCGATTCATTACCTTAAAGTCTTCGAACCCTGCTTCCAAAGCATCTTCCAGGGCAGAAAGTCCAGCTTGTACCTGTTTGTGACCATTAAAAAAATTGGATCTGTAGCTGCTAGGAAAATAAAACGACATAGCCTAAACCAGAAAAGCAGTTGTGGTTATAATAAAAAACCAGAAGCTACCTGATCAAGCTTAGAATAACAACAAGCGACATTGTAACTTGCGACAGATGCTTCATTAGCATCAGGTTTCGATCCCAATACAGACTCAAATTTCTCCAATGCTTCCTCATATTTGCCGTTCCTACATCAATTGACCCAGGAAAGAGAGAATTAATAACATAACCAAGGGCAATTCTCTGCTCAGCGGCAGCTACAGGATCCATAGAAACAAATCAGCAGCAGAAAACTTGCGCAACGATACTCATGAATCTAAGAGTAGCATAGCCAGAAATTTCGATGGAGTTTGATATTAGAGTCCCTCAGTGACGCACTTGCATCTGTATGAAAGATTATATTTCCAGCACATACAAATACGGTCCACCCATCGATGACATAGTAACAAATGCAACTAAATTGAAAAATATTAAACCATAAAAAGATAAACAAAAAAATGACACTACCTGTAGAGCAGCAGCCCTTCACGGAGGTCCATCTCTCTTCTCTGTTTCTGTTCTTTTTTCCTCATTGAATTTTGCATCTGCAACAGCCAAATTTTTTGGATAGGCCGGTCTTTTAAATTTATAAAAAGAAATACTATTCACATAAGGGTAAGTGCTATATAAAATTCAATATGGGAAGATTAAACAGAACACCGTCTTGTACTTACTTGGATTTCCCTCACTCTGTTACTTATTACCCCGGAGTTCCTCTCTGCTCTAATGATCTCCCTCTCTGTTAGCTCACCAGTTTCCTCCAGTTTACCTGAGAAGTACACAATTTGTGCAGTTCAAGCCACGGTAAAATGGCACCAAACTTTTTTCTTGCATAATGGTGTAGAAATCAATAAGCACTAGATAGATTGAAAGGCTCAATGCAGAAGGAACGAACCGTATCTTTTCTGCATCCTCATTAGCAATGGGCCAATCCTTTGACGGATAGTATACATCGTCCTTCCATATTCAGCTGCAGGCCATATCTCCGTCCCAAAAACTGCACTGCATACAACTACTAGACTCGTCTCATTGTCTCAATGTGCACTCTTAACAAAATTTTCCAGGATGACAATAGCAGGAGAAGCCATAGATACTGGACAAAGAAACAATTAAGGCCGGAAAAGAAGTAAATAAGGAACTTGGAAGCTGCATAATGTAACACTTCATCGACTGATGTCAAGTATCTCTAGTTCCATTGTAAATTTACTCAAGAGAATTGTTTATCTGAACCGCCAATTTGACCATTAATAATCAACCTCTATGAGCAAGTCGGAAGCACATATCAACTAATTTGCAGTTCCTTACTATCACTCGCAAGTCGCCAACGATTTCAATATTAAGGCAAGACTATCGGGTCAGCCGTCCAGGCTATCCATTGAGTTATTTCCTTAAAGTTGCAGGGGCTCAGGTCGCGCATCATTTAAGCTTCTTACTTTGGGCTGTCTCAAACATGAGCTACTTAACTTAGCCCCATCTTCCATTAATCGGCCAACCACGCTATTGTCCAACACTTATATTCTAACACAGTCACAAGCTCAGGCACTATCAACCATCGTAAGACCCAATTGTCATTTACCAATCGGTACGCTCGATTGATATTCTTTTTGATTGGCCACATTATGTAAATACTTGTGCTGCCTAGCACTTGCAAATTTGCAATGAGCTAAACAGCAAATTGCGGCTATACATTGAATTGCTGCAACTGCAAGTAAGCATAAATCCAATGTATACGAAACTGGAAAAGATGGTCCCTTTCTCCTCATTTCTTGCACAAACATTAAACTATCACAAAATAAAACAGACCCAAAAAAGATAAAGAAAAAGGAAGAAGAAATTTGCAAAGGAAACCTGGTGGCGAGTACTTTATCCCCCACAGCGAACATGCCGGTCTTGTCAGCAGATCCACCGGCCCCAATTGCGTCAATGTAAGTCCCACCATCTCTTCCTTTAACAAACTTCAACCCATATGGCTGCACTATCTCCACCTCATACTCCTCATACTTCTCTTCCCCTCCCCCGTCGGCTGCTTCCGACGACGTCTGCGACTCGGTTTCAGATGCTTTCACCACCAAAGTGGGCGCTTTTACCAAGTGGGTCTCCGAGAAATGAACAGATAGGCTCAGGAGAGAGCCGTTCTTGGATAACGAATGCTTGGCGTGGAAGAACACGAACTGGGTCGGCTTGTTCTGAGCGGTTCTTGGTAATGGCGGTGAAGAACAGAGAGAAGATGCATAGCTTCTCTGAGCTATAGACATGATCCTTGACCTTGCTCTAGCTCTCCTCCGTTAGAGATCAGAGTCGAGAGAGAAAGGAAGTCTGGATTGGTTGAACAATGGGAGGGAGGGAGAGAGAGAAGAAAGGAGAGGCTTTTGGGATTGCAAGAGCGCTCGGACTAGTGGCTGCAAACGGTCGGGCGTTAGTGTAGTTTTTCTTTTCGATCGGAAACCGCCACGTGTCCGCTTGTGGATGGCGGCCGATGTGGAGTGTCGGAATATGAAGCATCAGATACTCCCCAGATCCTGTGAGGACACGTGGTTGGAAATGCAGCGTATCTCTGTCTCTATCCTTCTTGTGTTAAGGCTGCGCTGTGATTTTGAGGTTTGAGTTGCGTTGCTGCTCTAATTTCATTTACTTAGCAATTCCATTTTTGTCTTTATATTTCTAACATTACTCTTCATAATATATCCTTTAGGCTGCGCATGACAACCATTCTGTGCCCGGGAACAGATTTTGATCAGAAATGATTCTTTTAATTCGTGCGTCAGGAGCGGTCCTACGGCATTTGAAGGCGTTTGTAACGGCCCAAAATTACGTGCCGGGAGAAATGCGTTTGGTAACGGCATAAAATTTCTTTTTATTAATGATATTTTAATAACATATTAAATATTTTAATATTTCTTTCTTTTCTTTTTGTCTTCTCCTCCTTCTTGGCCATAGCCGGTAAAATATTTTTTAATTAATAATACTTTTATTAAAAATAATTTTTTTATTTTTTTGGCCATGGCAAGTAAAAAATTTTTATAAATAATTTTTTTATTAATAGTTTTAAAAAAAAATATTTTACTAAAAAAATATTTTTTTCTTTTTTTTTCGCTATGGCCCGGTCGCTTAGTCATGGCCACGGTTCGGAACCGACCGGTTCCGGTTTGTGTCCAAGTATGAACCGGATGGTTCCGGGCCGGTTCCGGTTCCTGGCCGGTTCCGGTTCCTGGCCGGTTCATAATTTTTGTTTTATGTTTTTTTTCTTTTTCTTTTTCTTTTCTTCCTCCGCCGGCCATAGCCGGGGCCGGTGGAGGTCGCCGGCCTCAGGCAAGGCCGCCCTCGCCGGCGTCGGGCGAGGGCTCGACCTCGCCGGCGTCGGGCGAGGCCGACCTCGCCTACAACCGGGCGAGGCCGGCCTCGCCCGACGCCGGCGAGGCTCGACCTCGCCGGCAACCGGGCGAGGCCCGGCCTCCCCGAGGCCGGCGAGGCTCGACCTCGCCGAAGCACCGGCGAGGCCGGCCTCGAGGCCGGCGAGGTCGAACCCTCGCCGAGATCTGGCGAGGCTCGACCTCGCCGGCGTCGGGCGAGGCCGGCGAGGCTCGACCTCGCCTGCAACTGGCGAGGCTGGCCTCGCCCGACGCCGGCGAGGCTCGACCTCGCCTGCAACTGGCGAGGCCGGCGAGGTCGAACCCTCGCCAGATCTGCAGCTTCTTCTTCTTTTTTTTTTTTTTTTTGAACCGGGCTCGGAACCGGCGGTTCCGGGCAGGTTCAAAAATTTCTAGAACCGGGCCCGTAGGGCACAGGCCGGTTCCGGTTCCAAACCGAGGGCCCGATCAACGGGCCGGGCCCGGGTTTGACCGAGCTGGTTCCGGTCCGGTTCCGGGCCGAAACCGGCCCGTGGCCATGACTATGGTCGCTGGCCATGGCCGGTAAAATATTTTTTTTATTAATAATATTTTAATAAAAAATATTTTTATTGAAATTATTTTTTTTATTTTTTTTTGCCATGACCTGGTCGCTGGCCATGGCCGGTAAAATATTTTTTTATAAATAATTTTGTTATTAATAATATTTTAATAAAAAATATTTTTATTGAAAATATTTTATTATTTTTTTTGCCATGGCCTGGTCGCTGGCCATGGCCGGTAAATTTTTTTTTATTAATAATATATTTTTTTATTTTTTTTCGCCATAGCCGGTAAAAAAAATTTTATTAATAATTTTTTTAATATTTTTTTCACCATGGCCTGGTCGCTGGCCATGGCCGGTAAATTTTTTTTATTAATAATATTTTTTTATTAAAATATTTTAATCTCGCCAGATACGGCGAGGGTGGCCTCACGCCGGACATTAGAAGCTGCATTAAAAACCAAGAAAAGGAAGAAGAAAAAAAAATTGATTCTCATTTTTGTTCCCAGAATCAAGAAGCTACTTTTTTTTTATTCTTGATTCTGCTCCAAAACTGATTTTGGGCACAAATTTACAAGAATTTGTGCCCAGAATCAAAAAATTAAACAAACGGATTTATGTTCCCAAACAGATTTTGGGAACAAAAAAATAGAATCAAATACTATTTGGCAAGTTGTCATGCGCAGCCTTAGCAATCGTATTATTTTTAGAAACGATTCTTGATGCTGCTCACATTTGCATTTGATGCTGCTCACATTTGCGTTTGATCCACCTTGCAAAATTACAATTAGTCATCCACATGCACCAAATGAGAGATTGGTAAACACTTTCGGGCTACCTTGATACCTATTAATCTTTTTAAACCATTCCTCACTCAATAATGTACGGGACAAAACCTCTTAATAACAATAATGTATGAGGATAGGGAATCATCTTGTCTGAAACCCCTACCTCATTAAAATTAGCCAAAAGTGCTACAATTTAGGCTCCATTTTTTTCACGAACAACAACTTTCAAATTTTTTTTTTCGGATTTTCCAACATTTGATTCGCAGTAGATAAACTAGTCAAGGAAAACATTTTCAATCAATGGAAAAAACACCTTCAAAAGTGTATTTCCTCCGGAAATCATTTTCCCTCCTATTTCTTGCGCTTAGCATGTTCTCCTTCATATGCTGCACGCCTTCACCTTCCTCTTCTCGCCTGTACACTCCTCATTTCTCTCCAGCTCCAGAGTTCCTCCTTTGCCTCTCCACCTTCGGACTTCCTTGTCCTGTCTGCCTATGTGATCCTCATGTCTCTTTGGCTCCGGAGTTCGTCCTGCTCCTCCGTCTCTTCGCCTCCAGTGTTCCTCCTTCTCCCCTGCCTTGTTGCTCTGCCTTAAGAGTTTGACTGGCCACAGGTGAGGGACAAGCTCGCTAGCGATATGACGAGGTCGAGCTCGCCCTTGCCGGCCTTGGGCGAGGCTCCGATGCTGTTCCTCACCAAGACTTACCAGCCCGTGGACAATCCAGCACTGGACGATTTGATTTCGTGGAACGAGGGCGAGATGACGTTCTTCATGTGGCGGCTAGCAGAATTCGCTAGGGATTTGCTCCCCAAGTATTTCAAGCACAACAATTTTTCCAGCTTTGTTCATTAGCTAAACACTTACGTAAGTTTGCGATTGCGATTCCCAAAATGCAAATTTGCTTGGTTTAGGATTCGATTTCTGCGAAATCTTCTTTGTGTTGATGATTGTAATCGATTGGCTTCTAGGGATTTAGAAAGGTGGTGTTGGATCGGTGAGAGTTCGCCAATGATTGCTTCCGGAAATTGGAGAAGGCCCCTTGCCAGATCTAGCGAGGCTCGGGCGAGCTTGTCCCTCGCCTTTGGTCAGTTGCCATGGCTGGCCAGATTTTTTGGTTAATTTTCAGATCTTAGCTAAATACCGGAAAATATGATCATTTTACAAGAAAATGACTTATGAAAAAATATTTTCAAGAAATGTCATATTTTTCGCGAAACAAACGAAGCCTTAGCAGCAAAGAGAAAGAGACAGGTGAGAGGCATTGTTCAATTGGTTACACGGATCTTTGGTCGAAATCAAGAACCTATCGTAGGCATTGGACATATCCACCTTTAGCCCTGGATACCCCTTCCCTCTCCTTAGGTTCTTCATGCGCTGCACCACCTCGTGTGCTAGAATAGAAATTTCTGTCGGTATGCCTTCCAAAGTACAAAAGCCTGTTTGCCGTGGAGAAGCTAGACTTTCCAGCAAAGGTCTCAAGCGATTAGCAAGGATCTTGGCGATCAATTTATAGGTTGCATTACATAGACCAATCGCATTACCTTTCCAAACCCTGGGTGAACTCTACTTTTTGTTCAAGTGAATGCATACCTAACATCGGTTAAAATAATACTGTTATCTCCATTCGATGACTCTTGTTCGATGAGGCGTATTCGAGTGTGACATCGCTTGGTTTGACGTTAAAAATGGGCAATTATACACAAAGCATCCAAACATTTTTACAAGTTCATGATCGGTTAGAATTTGACGACTCGAATTCGTTGCTGATGGACTGCCACCTCTGTAAGACTTGTAAGCCTCAGGGTGACACTGATAAGATAAAGATCGACATGGCAGGTGAGAGAGGATGAACCCCAGCAAGACTAGGATTCTTGGTTTTCCGGTAAGAAGATCATAGTCTTACGAAGACTTGGCCCGTGGAAAAAGAAGGAAAGATCTTTTCCCACTCTCACGTAAATGCTCGTGTGAATCTGATACGATATTTATGAATTTCTGTCAAACTCATATCCAAAGCGGAGGGATTAAGTTTGACTCTGCAATGTCTGTCACTCAAATGGTACAATTATTTAATTCTTATGTATGTAAGTAACATCGAACCCAATAAAGTCCTTAAAAGGCTTCATTTCTGGCCTCGGGTTATCTGGGATGTAAAATGTCTAAGAGATATTCTCTCTCTGTAGAGAAGAGAAGATAAAGATACAAGGGAAATTTGGAGCACAGGGCGTGCGGACACCAACACGTTATGAAAAGGAACACATTTCTAAAGCCCGCCGTCCTTGTAAATCAAATGGACAAACCATGAAGGTCCCTGTGAGAGTCAAGGTTCCTCTTCGACTCTTCGTTTTCGCGTATGCCGTGACGTTGGATCCCTTCCGACATCACGCCTATGGACTTCACAATGGCTAGTGGTTCTTGAAATATAGCAAACCCTCGGATGAAATCGCTCAGGTAATGTGCATACTCCTCTTTCTTGCTCGACCCGAATCTAAATGGCCCCAAGCCAAACTCTCTCGGGGTTGCTCTTATGAAGACGAACCTACTATATTTGGTACTTACTCGGTGTCCTTCGGCATCGTCAAACCGCGGTATTTGGAACGGTTGCTCAAAGGGTGTTGTTAGACACGAGAAGGCATTTCATGAAATTGTTACACCGTAGTTACACCTGGTGTAACAAGCCCTAGAAAGTGAGTGATTCCAGACTACGTCGAGCCGTGCAATCAACACAAAAAAGGAAAAAGAAAAACTTTTCCGCCAGACACCCATTGTTAGAGAAAGAAAAGGAAAGAAAATAAAACAAGCCTTAAAATCAAGATATAATTAGGCCAGGAGGGCTAACATTACCATAGATAAACCATTAAATAGCAAGGCATACAGTACAGGTCCATAAAAAGGAGATGTACATCAAGATAGATAACCAGACAATGACCCCTGAGCACAATGTTAGCATAAACTCAGAACCCCTCTCTTTCTCTACACCTTAACAGCTCCGTTTATTCTATGCAACAACAAAAATTGCCGATCTTGGCATATGCAGAAAATATCACGCAAGATTCTTCTCTCTGCAGTGTAGGTCATGCAAAACTTCCAACTAGCTCAACAACAAGCAAAGCATCAAAATAACCAAAATGAACTTCTTTTGTTCATGCGATTTATTTGAGATTGCCCTCATATCTGGACTTCGGGATCTCGAAGCTTTCCTCCGCATGCTTTTGCAATATATAATAATTACACTCTTAAGTGATCAAAGCCTTAGTGGCACCAACCCCACGATGAAGACAGAGGCTGCAGAGGAGTCCAAGACTCTTTTCTCTGGTGAAGGGAATTCAATGATTAGTTATGTACCATCCCATTGAACCACACAAGAAATAAATTCTGCATGTAAAGTATGATATAGAAGAGATTTGAAGATTGTGTTGAGAAACTCATGAGACTATAGTACACCTTGTACACCACATCACAAGACAAATCAATATGATTATACCTATAGATACAGCTTCTTTAGACGGTTGCTTGATGAGAGAACTTTCTTTCCATATGGACTGGTTCGCAGCACGGGAATATGGGGTCTTATTGCCTCCACTAGTGCATCTTCAAGATCTCCCTGATCAAAGAAAAGTACAAGTGAGCCTGAGCGTCTTAAAAGTGCAGTTATTTTTTTCATGAACCAGATAGATACCATGCCTTAATCTTTTGTCTGCTAACGGCAAATGACATGTTGTGCTTCATGCAACAAGACCAACTCTTGAAGATAGAAATGGCAGCAACTAAATATGATTTTACTTGCTGCAACTAGTAAAGCCGCAACACTTTGGCAAATAAAATACATAGCCAAGCTCTCATGAAGGATCGAGTCAATTGCCTACCATATTAATCCTAGCCAAAGGTACTGTTCAGCATTTCAAGTTCAATCACATTGACTATAATCTGATTGAGCTCAGGTAAAAAAAAAGCATGCTAAAAGTTTCTTCGCTAAAGAGAATAAGCATGTGGCTAATACAACTGTAATTTTTCAAATGAGAGAGAGAGAGAGAGACAGAGAGAGACAGAGAGAGCCAAAAGAAATACAGCATAAAGTTTGCAGAACCCAAAACAGAACTTCTACCATCTATAGGCTTTTCAAAATGCATATTACTACCACGTGCGGAAATGCCCGTCTGTGTATCCACTTTCATTACGGATTGGGTAACTTAAACTATATTCCCCAGTTATCAGTTCATTCGCACCGCTTGTCCTTGGCTTTCTAATACTTCCAGTTTATTTGAAACCTAGTTCTGCTGATCGCATCTCCCATGACCACTCCTACAAAATTTACTTGACATCAACCTTTCAAAACCCCTTACTCCCCAAGGGGAATTAATTATCCAGCAATTGAGTGAAAGAAAAGTCAGAGAACCGAAGAAAAAGAGGGTCAAGACTCGTATATATGGAGTGACCCATAGGAATAAAACAGCTCCTGAACCACCAGAACAGTTGTTATCTCAGCACCGAGACAGATACTCAGGACAATGGTAGTCATTTACACCTGGAAAAGTAAACGAGCCCTTGGAACAACAAAATACTGGGAAAAGATGCTTCTAGTAAGTCCCATGTGACACCATAATTTCATGCTTCTGCCAGGGCTTGGTGCCCTAGCTGACATTGAAGTTTTTATACTTTTTGACCATGAGAAGATTATCCAAAGTGCACCGACATACCAAATCATAGACTTTATGATAGTGTAAAAGTACAACTTCACCTAAATCTCACTTCATACTAAAGAAATACATTAAAAAATTGCAGAAAATCCTCACACATGAATTTGAAAGTTATAACCGACCTCTGAGATGTTCAATGCAGCTTGGATGACATAATTGCCATAAGCATCTTGCATGATTTGATCAAACCTAGGATCATCAATAAGCTCCTGGATTACACGTCTTGGACCTTCCCCAATAGAATGTTTCAGACACTTCTCGACAACATTACTGCTATATTTTTGCATTGATAAGTCCCCATATCTGCCTTCCAACTGATCAATAATTTTTACTACCTGGGAGACTTGAAGCTCAAAGATGTATTGCACAACATAGTTCCTGCAGTGGCAAACAAAAATTCGAAGCTCAATCTAACTATGTACATGCCATCATGGACTGCAAGTGGTGTAGGCAAGAAAAACATGTAGCAGTCCTGGTGATAATTTCTTATGAAACATGATTAAGTCGTCAGCAGAGAAAGCACTGAACTTAAGTTTTCTTAAAGGAAACTTTACGCTCAAGTAGGGTTGTACAATCTACAGCACACCGATGATAACAGACCCGTTGTGCAGTCCCCAGTTTTAAAAGCTTGCTAAGAAAGGGTTTGAGGATATTAGAACCCTTTAACATTAGAGTACTAGGACTTCAAACTAACAGGTGCTAGTATCGTTGGACCATGCAGTTTTTACAGGAGAATGTTCTGTCTATGTTCCAATAAACCTAGAATCAATTTGCCTCATCTAGGGCCATGCTTAATTCTTTTAAGTAATAGATACCATGCTGGCAACTTTTTTCTTATGAGATGAATTACCCTCAAACACAGTGAACAAACACACAACACATACTTTTTCACTAAATCTTACAGGCAGCTTGACATATAAAAGGAAAAAGAATCAAGCTAAGCAAGATAAGACAAACAAATACCCAAATTGATCCTGGGAAAGTATTAGCGAATTTGAAACTATATCAGAGATCAGATGTTTCCTATGCTCCCCGACAGAATGACTAAGGCATTTCTGAAGCACACAGCAGCCATGGCGATCCGTTGCTAGTTCAACGCAATTAGCAGCTGCAGCTTCAAAAAGGAACTGCAGCAGAAAATTGTCAAATCACTCCAATCTCATTTTAACAAAAATAACCACAACCCAATATGCAGAAAAATGATACATGATGTCCTATTATGCAGAAATATTGGCTTACATTTTCCTGCTGGACCTATTAAAATCTAATAAAGAGCAGTGGAAGAAAAATTGTCAAACAAACTGGAAGTGAATCTCTTCAAAGGCTTCTCGTGAAAGCACTCAGATTAAAGCAAAAAATGTAATTCTCTCAGAAATCTAGTGAAACCAATCTCAAAAGATAATATACCATAAGTCAGAGCAACACAACAAGGACCATAGGAGCTGAGATGTACTTAATAACTTGTGTCAAACGAAGAACGATAAAAAAGGAAGTTTCCTGATATTGTTATCAACTAAAAACATATATTAAACTGACACGAATTTAGTCCTTCCAAATTAACTATAACAGAAGGCAAAATCAAGAGAAAACAATACACTCTTAAACATCATCTGGTTTTACTCCTGAACTAAGTGTGAGAAATTCATAGTTTCTGTTTATACCCCAGATTTGTAATGTACAGATGATGATATTCCATTTATAAAGAGATTCCAATCACCTTACTCAGGAGGATTACTAATATCCTGTGTTTGAATTATGCATGAGTTAAAAAAGTGATCATGGATGAGGAACATCTTCACAGGAGTAAACTACAAGACCAATCCCCAACTATTTTTTCGCACCTGAGTGTAAGCAGGCATCAAAAACTGCAAGCAGCGCTGGGCAACATGATTGCCGTTCATGTTTTTCATCAGTGTCACTATACATGGCTTCAGAGAATTAACCACAATTGAAATATGCTCTGGAGTTCTGAGGGTCTCGATGACTTTTTGAACAGCTCGGGTCCTGTCATAAGAAGAGAACAAGCCAGAGTTAACTTAAGTTGATGCAGGGGGAATCAGCAGAAAAAGGTTGAAATGGGAGTAAGCACAATTGATCAATCGTATACACGTCTATTTGTATTTACTTGCAACAGAGAGAGAGAGAGAGAGAGAGAGAGAGAGAGAGAGAGAGAGAGAGAGCACCCGTGCATATCACATGAGATGCGAACTAGATCCCCTGGTTTCCTAGTGATCTCTTGAAGCATCCGTGTTCGCTGATCTTCACGACAAACTTCCAAAAGCTTCTGCACTAAGTAATTCCCGAAAGGATCTGTCATTAGCTCAACTATGCAGTCAATGACCTCAAGAAAGATCTTGTCAACAGCCTCCTGGGGCCCCTCTGTTATCTTCTTTTGTAATAAGCGGCAACCATGTTGGTCCCTAGCCATGAGAGGAATTCTACCTCTGACTTCATCCACAGTTTTAGTCTTCTGATATAGCAACCTAGGGTCACAACTTTTAAAATATGTTGCGTCGTTAGATAAGAACCATGAGTGAGAATCATCTGCCATAAAGCATCTAGCAGTCGGATTCCATAGGCAGCAGTGGTGTAGGCCATTTAAGGTGTGACTTCCATTTTCAGTAAAATGGTTAAGTGCTTCATTTCCTGAACCAAACTTCAAAATTCTTGGTGAATTCAAGTCGTGCGGTCTAGTTAGATTCTTTCTGGCAGAATTCCCTTGCAATTTTCTGTCCAAAACTTGCACATTGCGAACATCTGTGGGGGAAAGCCCAAAATTTGCTTGCTTCAGGCACCTTGCATTCACATAATTGTTCAAGAATTTTCCTTGCTCAAATTGTCCAAATTGGTGAGATCCTGACACCTGGTTGTGCTGCATCCTTTGATTTTCATGCAGTATCCCGTTCACATAATTTGCACTCACTTGGACCGGAAGTTCATCTTCCAACTGACAGTCACCATTCTGCTGGACATTAAGGTTTTGCTTCCACATTAAGTGAGAGTTTTCCTCCTCTGTGTTCCTCCAAAGAATTGGGCACTCGTTCCTATGTTGTCTATGAAAGTAAGGAAGCGGGGATAGTGCACTGATGCATTGCTTCTGGTTAGAGCTTACGGGAAATTCTACAGCAGGAACATGTAGATTGTGCAGCAAATGGACCCCATTAGTTGCTGCCGTTGATGAAGCATTGGAGTTACCAACCGACTGAAAACCACTAACTTGCCACTTTTTTAGACCTTGAGAATCAAATTTACTCAAATCCAGACACCCTTGGCCAATTTGGGTCCCAGAGAAGTCATCAAAACCAGAGGGAGCACTAATTCTTGTCTGAAAAGGATAGACAGTGTTCCATTGTGAATGTGCAGCTAGATTATGAATCTTTAAGTTGTTGCAATATTGGCTTTCCAATAAAAAGGCATTACTATGCATAGGCATACCATTAGCTGAAGGAATACACACAGCTTCCCCAGCCAAACCATTCTCTAAATTCAAATCTGCAAATGCAAAAGCAACAGATTGTTCATCAGGCAGTCTTATTTCATTCACTTGAGGGTTCTTGTCAACTTGATCAGCTGATGTTTTTCTCCCGGGCAAACCGCCATTGTTTGGAAAATTCTCACTGCGAGGCCCTTTGCTAGACTCAACCAAGATAGGAGACATCGAATCGCCCAAAGACACCCTTTCAAGTCCAGTATCCTCAGGCTGTCGAAATCCAGAAGTACCATTGGGTATTTCACAGAGAAGCTTCTCAAAATCGTCAATATCTAGTCCCTTTCTGTTTCCTGTCATTTGCTGAATAGCCAAAATCCTCTCTGGCAAACAGGGACAATCTCCACTGCCAAATGCACTCCTCAATAAGAACCTTCCACCAAACAAAAGAATGAGGTTAATAAACCATTCATATCCCAAAATTCAGCTAAATTGTCAATGATTGGCTAGACCAAACATTCATCAGCAACCCATAAATGCAAAGAGACTTGTCAGACATCTGTGCAGATCACTAGCGACATTCATGGAATCGGAGCATCAGAAATACGTCCCGAGCAAAGTAAAGAAAGTGGTCGGCATCGACAATATGATTGAATAACGGAATCCACTATTCTAAACCTTCCCATATGGATGATATCATTCTCCGGTGTGGTCATGAAATCCAGAAACAAGAATACAATCAGAGGTCCCACACACGGAATCGATCTCTTTGGAACGGTTGTCCTCGCATTAAACCAACAGATGACCAGAACTTGCATTAGCCTGGTCACCCATAGCGTTTAGTGACAAAATGTACCTCAAAAAGCACAATGAACCAGACCCCAGTAAAGAAAGCCATGACTAATATGAAAATTCGAAGCCATTTGGATCATCAGGGGACCTTGTTTCCTCGTTTTTCACGTCTAGTACACAAAACTATCTAAACAAGACTACTCATCTAACCTGAACAGACATTACGCGAAAAGGGTCAATTTCGCTAAAACCCAGAAAAGAATATCCATGATCAGATGAGAGGACAACGATCCTCGCAATGCACAAGACAACGGGAGACGAAGAACAGGGTTCGAAGGACAAGCGAACGGCCAAAAAGACGCACGAACAACAACAATGCAGAAACAGGGGAAACAACTCCCGCCGATTGCGAGACGCACCGAGGCTCGATCACCCCCACGTACCAGTCACGGGAAACGGGCAGACGTAGGAGACGATTCCATCTAAAATTCCATCACAAGAAAACCAAGAGAGTCGAGCTCCAACACACACAAGAGCGAAGCCCGGGAGTCTCAGTGATAAAAGCAAGAACGGGGGAGAACAAAAAGATGGGTTCTCTTGGTTTTTCGAGTAAAATTAAAGGGGGAATGCGAAAGGAGTGAGGAGCGTTGTTGGTGGAGGTGCGGCGTGAAGCAGAAGGACGAGGTGTATCAATGACTGCTGAAAAGAGAGAGAGAGAGAGAGAGAGAGAAGAGGTATTGCTGGTCAGATAATCAAGGGAAAAAATCAGAGAAACTACTACAACAACACACCAACCAGAAAGGAGAAATTTTTGTTAAGAACTAAGGAAGCCCATCATCATCATCATTCATCACTCATCATCCCCACCCATTCCTCCCTCATGCATGGGCTTGAGAATGGCATGTGTGCTTGTCATCATGCCTCTCTCCCTCTTCTCTCTCTCTCTCTCTTCCACCCTTCTTTGTTGTAACCGGTGGGTTCTTGGGTTTGGAAGCTTTCTTGTGTAAGGCCAAGGCCTTATTATAATGTCCTCCCTCCTCTGCCTTTCCAATTAGAAGATATGGAGGTGGGGGATAGTGATGTTGATGTTCTTCTTCTATTCTTATGTGCATCTCTTCCTAACTTAAAAATATTTTGGACATGCTTCCTAAGTGTATAGTTTCCATGTTCCCCCCAACCCCCTCAAAGATGTTGCAAACGTATGACTCGATGCAACGAGCCGGTTTTCGCGTATTCCCCTCCCTCCGGTTATGTTTATACCTTGTGTCGAGAGACGCGAAACCAGATGCGTGAACAAATAGCTGATAAAGGTTCAAGGAACTTTAGATTCATCGGTATCGAAATCTATATGCGGTATTTGCCTTAATGTGGTGCGGGGGCATTTCATTCTTTAGCAATTTGTGTTGCACGTTCTTTGTATCTAAACTTAGCCAATTCATGTAGCAGCAAACCGTCAGTGTTGTTATTTTGGGATTTTAGCCACCTAGGCAAATCGTGCGATCAAAAATGCCACTTCGGACCGGCAGTCCTGATTTCCGACATCGGAGACTCGCCGAAGGCCAGCTTGGGACTTGATAGTGCACGATTTCATTCTTCCTTTTTTTTTTTTTCGTTTTCACGGTGAGATTACGATCCAATTAATTCTAAATAAGACATTTCTTCTCACGCGACTCTAAGGTCCGAGATTGGTAATCACATCTTTTGTTTCATCGTTCTAGTTTGACCTAGCCTCTCTACTATGAAATTAGGAACGACCATAAATGGTAGCCGGTGCAATTTCTCTTTTTCAATCTTAGAAACTTCAAAACCATGACAATCTTCGTCCCCATGATGTCCGACAAATCTCTTGGGTCGATTCAGTTGCATAGTATTTTGGCTTTTAACGGAGAAAATTCAGGGTTCAACTTTGCCACGATTGATGAAATTCACTTAAATACCATTTTGAGTCAATTTTAATTTTCTTTATAATTTCACTCTAGAAAATCTCCTTATTAATCAAGTATTTTAAAGAACTTTAATTTTGTCTAATGCACAACGAAGGTGTAAATTGTGTTTCGGATTTTCCCTATTTGTTAGTATCGTCCACTTGTCACTAATGTTTCTCCAATTCCCTTTATTAACGAGCTCGATTTAGTGATTACTTGAGATAGATTTGCGTAATTCCATGTGGAGCTTGAGCTACTCGAATATGTTGTCGAGTTGAACTCGAACTCGTCTATACTCAGCTCGATAACCTCTTCAACCTAATCGAGTTTCTATTTTTTTTAATTTTTTGAAAACATTTAGCCGTTGCAAAAGTAGACAAAAAGATCGTTAAAATTCCATAGCATTCGAGCTTATAATGCTCGAGCTCAAATTCAAGCTTACTATACTCGTTTACAAGTCAATTGTAATTGAGCCCCATCAACTCAAGGTCGAATATCTTGATTTTGTGGTCTAGTCGAGCACCAGCGCAATAATTAATACTCGATCAAAGTCAAGTAAAGTTTCCAGCATCGAGTATGCTAGGTCCAATAGAGTACGAGCTTGGCAGTGCATCAACCCGTCTCGGCTCGATTAAACCTTACTTGCAAGTTAAGGTCAATGAAAAATATTTTCATTATCGACAATAATATATATCTAAATATATCCATGGAAGATGAAAATATTTTTCGTGTATTCATTTTTGTAAGAGATACAATTGATCATTTTTAAGAAAATATTTTCTAAATTATTTATTTTCCACAAAACAAAAACTCAATGTCTGCCCGTAACCTAACCAACCTTGCCCATGATTTCCACCTTTTATGCCTCCATCTCTGCCGGTCTTATTTCAACGTTAGAATTCTTTTTTCAGGTATATAATAATATCTCGTTACATCGGTCATAAAATCAGGTGTCGGATTTTTTGTCGCGATATTTTCATGTAAATTCCAAAAAGAAAAAAAGAAAATATGGGAGTGTGACGATATGATTGGGACTTGCATGTAAAGAAATGTCTAGTGCTAAATTTAATTTCAATTAGGCATAATTTCTTGAAGTATAGCATTAACTATTAAGAAGTCTTTGTCATCTTTATTTTAAGGGTTAATACCACGAAAAACCCTAAACTGGTACACTTGTGACACATTTACCCAAAACTATTTTTTTGACCATAAAAAACCCTAAACTGGTACACCTGTGACAATTTCACCCCGAACATACCACAAAAAACCCCAAACTGGTACACATGTGACAATTTTACCCCAACTAATTTTTAATATTATTTTTTTATTTTTTTGAATTTTTTCTTTTCTTTTCTTTTTTTTTTCTTCACTTCAACCTCTGGACCGGCGACCGGCCAGCGGCGGAAACCGGCAAGGGCCGCCCTCGGCAGCCGCTGGCGAGGGCCGCCCTCGCTCAACTCGGCAAGGGCAACCCTCGCCGGATCTAGCGAGGGCGGCCCTCGCCGGCGTCGGGTGAGGGCCGTCCTCGCCGACGCCGGCGAGGGCCGCCCTCGCCCGACTCGAAGCGAGGGCCGCCCTCGCCCGCCCACGCTCGACTCGGGCGAGGGCCGTCCTCGCCCGCCCGGGCGAGGCCTGCCTCGCCCTTGCCTGGGCGGGCGAGGCAGCCTCGCCGACGCCGGCGAGGCAACCCTCGCCCAACGCAGGGCGAGGGTCGCCCTCGCCCAGATCCGGCGAGGCGGCCCTCGACCGATACCGGCGAGGGTCGCCCTCGCCCGAGTCGGGCGAGGACAGCCCTCGCCCGACGCCGGCGAGGGCAGCCTTCACCCGATACCGGCGAGGGCGGCCCTCGCCGGATCTGGCAAGGACAGCCCTCGCCCAACGCCGGCGAGGGCGGCCCTCGCCCGACGCAGGCGAGGGCGGCCCTCGTCGGATCTGGCTAGGACGGCCCTCGCCCGACGCCGGCGAGGGCCGCCCTCGCCAGCTTCTGCCTCTGGCCGGTCGCCGAGGTTGAAGATAAAGAAAAAAAAATAAATGGAAAAAATAAATAAAAATTCGAAAAAAATAAAAATAATATTAAAATTTTAATTCAGGGTAAAATTGTTACATATGTACCAGTTTGGGGTTTTTTGTGGTAAGTTCAGGGTAAAATTGTCACAGATGTACCAGTTTAGGGTTTTTTATGATCAAAAAAATAGTTCGGGGTAAAATTGTCACAGGTGTACCAATTTGGGGTTTTTTATGGTCAAAAAAATAATTTGGGGTAAATGTGTCACAAATGTACCAGTTTAGGGTTTTTCGTGGTATTAATCCTTATTTTAATAGTGGCCTGATGCGAATTCAATGGATCGCCCCGTCACCCAACCCCAAACATCACAAGTACAGATGCACGCATTAGGGTGATGACCAGTATAGAAAAAAAAAACATTACGATCCTTAAAACATGGGAACTGATTAGGACAAAAAAATTTCTCACTAAATTTTGTTCTGCTTTGTTTTATCTCTAATTCTAGGGAAAATTTCTCCAACACTTATAAACTTACTGTACGAATGTTAACTTAGTCCTAAACTTTGCCAATTTTGCTAGTTGAATCGTAAATCTTTGCGCGAAATTCTTATGCGGTCCTTCAAGTTAATTTTCGCCGGACATCGTTGGCGTGGTGGTCCGGTCGTCACCGGCCGTTCTACATGGCACAATGCCACGTCAACGATTTTCAGCGAAAATTGACCGGAAGGACTATTGAAAATTTCATACAAAAATTTAGAACTAAATTGGCAAGATTAAAAAGTTTAAAACTGAATTGGCATCCATACAATAAGTTTATGATTGATTTGACAATTTCTCCCTAATTCTATCTCAAGATTTTGTGCTAATTTATTTTGACAACTCTGAATTAACTCACTTGAGGTATATCCGTACGTTTTGACACATCCCATCCTTGCGATTTTGTCATTTGGGGTATAGGTTGGTAATTTCCCGGGAGGTCAACATCCTCGTAATGTTCTCACCTGAACATGCTTAATATTAGAGTTCCAATGCTAAATAATGTCATCATGTCAAAAAATGTTTCTTATGAGTTAATTCCAATACTATATATATAAAATCAAAAAACGTTTTTCCAAGTTAGTATGCAATTCAGTTGATTCTTGCCCCATTTGCCATCATGAAGCCTACCAAGAGACACTCCCTGTGAGGGCCATCTCACCCAGTCGATCACGTCCCACCCTCATTAGATCGAGTTGTTACAGGCTCACTAGCTTATGTCTGGTTTGTCCCCAAACAGCAACCTTTATTTTTTGGGACGTATTGAGGGTTACTTCTCTTATACTATATTGTAACACCCTTAGACTAACTTAATTAAGGTATTATTTGTATTGGCCAGAAAAACTACATTAAAAAATCGTCAGAAGATTTATAACTAAATCGGCCAAATTGAAAATTTTAGAATAATAACTTTAGGACTTTTTGAACAATTATCCCAAAAATGAAGTTCCATAAATGAAAATGGAAAAAGAAAGTCAATCTTATTTTCCCATGGAAGATCGAACTAATGATTTATTTCATGTGAATTTTTACTAAAATGCATCCAAAATGAATTGCTTGGTGAAAAATTAAGTTGGAGTTAGGTAAAGCAATGATAGAGCAGACTGCGGTGGACATACATTAAATAAATGATCTAAATTCACAACAAGTATAAATCGAAAGGTTAATAAGAAAAATTTTAACAATTTGGCATATGTGAGGGAGGACTAAGCCAGCTTGGAAAATCCAATTTAGGTCTTTCCAATGGTTAATTATGGACTCGAAGAAAAGGAGCTTATCTTAGGGTCCACGTAAATGATGTTACTAGAGAGTTGATTTTGAATTTAGGTTAATTGTTCTTTTGTTAATGGGTCTCTTTTGTAACATAAGTTTGTGTCACTCTAATTGCGATTTCTTAGTATTTCCCATAATATTGAATTCGTTAACGATGCGCGTGACATGGTTATCCTAACAAGTCAAATCTTTCTCTAT